CACATGGGGTGTTTTGGCGGGGGTGGGGGTCGGGTAGCCCCGCGGCGGGGGTCCGGGGGTGAAACCCCTACCCCGGCTTGGGCCCGGGGGTGAAACCCCTACCCTTCCAGCATCCATACTTACGACCTTGGTTTGTGAAGTTACGCCAGTATGTATGTGTGCCCATTGACAGAAACTGTACGGATACGCTTGTTATTTGCCCAGTACTGTATCTGCACTACATGAGATTGACTTTTGACTGGAATCCATCGTTTTGTGCTACTGACTGACAGGAGGAAGAGGTTCTTGATTCTATGCGGGAAGTTTTTCAGGATTTGAAACTGGACTGCCTGGGAAAATGGGATGTGGGGGGTAAATTTGGGCATGCCTATGTGTTGCCTAAACACAAGGACTTGTCTAGATGGAGACCCATTTCTCCGACATGCGAAGAACCTTCTCGTCTGGCGTGTTCCCGAGTCGCCAAAGCCCTGAACTGTCTCTTGTTTGGGCTGCCAGTTTTGACTAACTTCAACCTCAAAGCAGTTGCTTATCTGAATCGAGGTTTAGTCCGTATGGATCGGAAGCTGTCGATTTTGGGTAGAGAAGATGATCTCGTAACAACATCCTTTGACATAAAGGATACGTTCGTTACTTTGCCACACCATGATATCATTGCTGCTGTTAACTGGCTTCTGGGGCACTTCTCTGTGCGCGGGTACATTGGGGTGAATGTGAAACGAACGGGAAAGGGAGCACACTTATCCTCTGGGCGCGCGAAAGATGAATGTGTGTTGGTGCGTTTTCCGGATGTATGCAATATGGTTTGTCTGGATTTGAACTTCACTTTCATTTGGTCCGGGGCTAAGCTGTTGAAACAGTAGATTGGGGTACCCATGGGGAATTCTTCTAGCTGTTCGCTGGCATGTATTCTATGTGCGTTTGCAGAGTTCCAGTTTTTAAGAAGCTTGGGGACAAATAAACGTTTGGTTTTTGGTTTCAGAATAGTAGATGACGTCACGCTGTTCGTAGCTGTGATTGGTAGCGAAGGGTCGGTCAGAGCTCAGAGGATTTTGCACCAGTTTACATCCTGTTACGGTGACAATTTGCGCCAACTACGGACTGATGAGTCACAGGTCGATTGGACTTTTGTCGGGATTCGTATTCAGTGCGCATGGCTTTCGATCAGAACTATGGCCATAATGAAGAACGCGGAGAGAATCTGGAAGGAGGGCTTGTTATCCTTTGGATCTTTTCAAGACTTCACTTCGTATTCCAGCAAGCAAGCCAAAGTGGGGGCATAAATCGGAACCCTCCACCGAATCCACACTCTGTCTTCACATAGATTTGGTAGGCTGATTGCATTCATGGTGGTTAGGCGTGAGTTGTTAATGCGGGAATTCCCTTCCCGGCTGATATCCGCAGTTTTCTCACGGTTCGCGAAGAAAATGAAGTCTCCAGAAGGTTTTATCCTGGCACGGATAGTTACGTAAGGGGTCTGGCTAGTTTGCCAGACCGGCCGTTTAGGCCTGCTAAGGATTTGGATTATGATTATAGTTTTTATTTTTTATTATTTCGGTGTTTCGGCAGTTACGGCAGCCCACAGACAAAGTCTCAAATAGGGTATGATACTAGCCTGTAAGACCTGGCGATTACCACGCATTGGATCGGTGCATTTTGGAGACCCCTAGGCCGATGGAGGGCGTACCACTAAAAAAAACATTTAGGGCTCAGGCTTTTTGTCTGTACGGGCAGGAATCTGGGAAATGTTTTCCCACTTTTTTCCTGATGTTCCCGCTCATCTTCGATTTGCTGGGTCGAGAGTACCCGACGGTTTGCGGTGACTCTACGGAGTCACAGGCCGTAGGACTCCTATATTATTCATGAACGCTGTGATGAACTCCTCTTGCTTCCGACGCCGGTACGATGCTGCATTATGGCGGTATACTCCAAGGTGATAAAGACCCGGCGGTTGCTGGGGACTATATCACCGAGTGATCTACTGGAGACTGTACATCGGTCTGATGGTAGTTGACAGTGACTCGCGCCATAGCCTTCATTGCTCTCTGCATTGGGGAACGTAGCGGCATCTCTGGAACAACTAGTCGGCAGCGCTGAAGAAGCGCTTATTTCCGGAAGGATGGGATTTCGTTGTGTTGCTTTCGTGTGCCTTTTGCCTGTGTCTTTTGTGTCTTTTTGTGTCTTTCGTGGTCTGTGCGATGTTATTTTTTTATGCTCAATGCAGGATCTGCCTATTTATCTGGCCGACGAAGCGATTCAAGTACTTTGATGATCGGCGTGCCGTCTCGATAGAAGTTTCACAGAGTTTTCACGGGTTCTGCTTAAGGAGGATGAGCATATTCACCTGTCCGGTGGTACAATCCAAGAACATGAATGATTGGTGCCTTTTCTCGATGGAGTATTCAGAGAATCGTCACGGATTCGACGTACGAGTAGGATGGAGGGAGTGGTGGAGGATGGGTGTTGGTTAGTATATAAAGGGGGCAAGGCATGTAGAATGACCTCCTTCATCGAGCAGATTACAGATGCTGGAATCTGAGTAATCCTCATGATGAGACTACTCGCGGGGTAGTCGAAACCGGTCGGGAAGTGGCCGCCAGGTTGTGGGAAAGGGATATGAGAGTGCACGACTCGGAGGGTACGAATCATTTTGGTTTCGGAGGATATATGAGAAAGATTGGTACTCTTGCTGAACGTGCAGTGTTTTCTCCTATTCATAATGGTATGATTTGATGCGTCTGAGTTTTTGCTCTATCTTGCGTGCGTGATTATCGTTGGTGCTTATTGGGATTACTGTCTAATGCTATCCTCATGTAGAGCCTGTTTGCCGAACAGTCTGTTTCATATTCATATTCATATTCTGCCGCAAGTGCCGTTGCCGTTTTTGTTTTTTGGTTTTTGTTTTTGTTCTCTATTTGTTTGTTCGTAATCGTAGGTACTGCATGTGTCTGTTTCTGTAGTGATTTGTGGGACAAAACCACTTGTTAGACAGGTTACTGTAGCTCGTAAGTACAATACAGCGGTCCGGGGATGGGCGGCCAATAATATGCGGACTATAAAGAACTTGATTGCGTGACCTTTGGTCTTTTCCGGGTCCGACGCAAACGACCGCCAACTGTTTCCGGAGATGGTCAGTTGGTCAAAGGCGGAGGTGGGTTAGTGGAAGGAGGAGTTTGAGAGAAGGACGTTGTAGGTGGTAACCCCCTGAAGATGACCGCGTGGCTGCGGTCGAAAACCGGTCAAATGACCGCGTGGCTGCGGTCGAAACCGCTCGGGGAGCCATATCCCAACCGGCACGCGATTTGTTGTGTATGTGTGCTTATGTACTCATGTACGTGAATATACATGAGCCTTTTGAATACTCTGTCGTTTGATACTGTGTGATTGGCTTGTGCATGAACCCGCTTGGAAGACGCCGAGTGAGAGTGAGCACGTTGATGGTGTTGGTATGTGATTACATGGACACGGTTACGTGGAGCGATGCTTTGAAGAAAGGAACTTCCGTTTATCGTTGGAGGTGTTCGTGGAGTACGGGATTGGCACACGCATGTGTTTTTTGCTGCTAATCTAGATGATCAAAGGTGATCTTGCCCTTTGGTATTACCGACAGAAAAATTGAATAGAAGCTTGTGACGACGGTTGCGGTACTATTGTACCGGAGTGCTGTATGTGATGTCTGATGGGAGTAAGCCGGATTGGAACAAAGGGATCTGTGCCTAATCTATTGCTTCGGCGTAATATTTGGAATTAAGGAACGATATGGATTCGAACTAAAGGGACTATGGACGCGATGACCATCGAGATCGGAGCGGGGATCGAGGTTGGGACTTTGACGGCTATGAAGGCGGTCGTGATCGGCATGGTGAAGGACGGAGGGAGCGTCCGATGGAGTGTGGTAGACACTGGTAGCTCTAGCCAAACGGGCCATCGATTCGCGCCCGTCCGCTACGAATGTGGAGAGCCTGGAGATTATAGAAACCAATGTCCGAGGCTAAGGAGGGATGGAGGACCAAGATACGCAGGGCAGCGTGGAAGGTCGTTATCACCAAGGCAGAATACTCGTCATCATGAGCCGAGAGCTGCATCCGAAGACCTGGCGGTTAAGCATCAAATCGAAGAACTGGCTGCGTCTATGGCGGCCATGAAGGAAGTCTACGATGCTGAGAAAGCAGCGAAGGAAGAGAAGAAAAAGAAGAAGCAGGAGAAGTTGGAGCGAAAAAAGAGGGAGGGGGAGGAAGCAAAATCAGAGGAAGAAGCCCGCTTAGCGGAACAGAGAAGGATTGCGAGAAAGGAAGAAAAATTGCGAAAGGAGGAGGAAGATCGGCAACTGCTGCGAAAGGAATTACTCACGGAGTTATCTCTCCAAATGGGACAACTTGACGAATCGCTCAAGCGCCGATACGAGAGGGATCTAAGGGAGCGAGCGAAAGGGAAGCAGAAGGTCGTCGTTGCCTCATCCGACGACGAAGATGCATACTCGCATGAGAGTGATGTGGATACCCTCAGTCGTGAAACTGAGCGACTCGTCATCACGGAGAAGAGAAAACGGAGCATTGAGAAGGCTGTCGGGGATAGCCCACCTATGGAGACACCAGTGAAACGGACGGCCAAACAACGACTCCAGCTGGGATGTTGCCATCAACCGATGAAGAAGGCTTCTCCTCGCAAGACTCCTCATAAGACTCCAGACGGGTAGGAGAAAGATCCCGACAGCCCCCGGGACAATCGGTAAGTTGAAATTCGTTACCGATAATTTGAGGGAACTTGGCGACATGACCGTCGAGGAGCTGAAGAGGATATGCACGACAGAAGACGTGGTGTATGAAGGTAAGAAGATGCAAGCGATTCCAGTTATTGCCGAGAAGCGGACGCAAATCCCTTATGGGGATGAGGAGGCGAGGCGTCCGGAAGAGGAAACGGGGGAGAATCTAGTGGACAAGGAGGATGTGGAAGAGGAGGCGGGAAGTGATGCGTGAATGGATTGTAAATTGTGGGTGCTTTGTGGATGTTTGATAGAATTTCGTCGTGATAACTTACACGATGAGACTGTCGAGGTGTTGTATAGGCTCGTTATAATTGCATTCGCCCTACGTAATCAGATCCGTTGGATGTTGAAATGTGTAGTATCTTGGATTGAGTTGTATAAGCAGCATGGGATTGGATGTTTTACGAAGGTAGATGGAGGTGTGTACATTCTTACCTCTCCGCTTTGTCGACCGCAGTATGTGGGGCAGACAGGTAGGGATGGTAAGGCGCGGTGGAAGGAACACATTTCAGTATGTAACCGAGGCGTTAAGCAGAACCACCTATACAAATGGTGGAGGACATTCGGGTACGAGTCCTACGTGCTGGTTCCGGTTGACCAATGCTTGAGAGCCGATTTGGTAATCATGGAAGAGATCTATGGAGAAGAAAAGGGAGACGTGAGAGGCGGAGGAAGATATCGCAGTATAATACTAGGCAGAGTTCAGGAAACGTCATACCAATCAGGGTGAAGATGAGCGACATGGTGGAATGGAGCTTGAATTGTTTTCAAGTTCTGACAGCACAGGAGTCGGCGGGATGTAGCCGATTCACTCTACACGTGAGGAAAGGAAGTTGCTGGGGTGGTGCCATTGGATGGAAATCGATCAGATCGAGCTTTGGAAGGTCCGAGGTTAAGGTAAACGGCAAGCAATGTAAGCTGTGTGCTTGCAAACGGGACATGGAGAAGGGGGTGGAGATGGAGATTCTCCATTTACGGAGGTGGAAACCAAAGATTACTAAGCATAAGGACTTCCTTATCTCGATCTTACGCAACAAGAAACGTGTGGAGTCTTTGCATAAGTGTAATTTAGAAGTGCTGTTGAGGTTGACGGGAGCAACTCAGGATTTTCATAAAGCATCGACGACGGCCTATTTGAGGAGATTGATCGGCGGAGTCAAGGAGAACTACGGTTGGAGTTTGAATTCGAAGGTTACAGTGAAACTGAAATTTGATGACAGGATTTGGGTGGTTGAAGTGAGGAAGCTTCTTAACGACCAACTCAAGATGATGGAGTGTCCAGCCCTTTTGAGGAATCATGCACGAAAGGGAGTGCGCATCGTATGGGAGAAAAACCCGTCGGTGGCAACTCTTTTACACAATCAGCGAGTTTTTTCCCGAGCTGAAGTGGTGACCTGCTCTTATGCAGGGTTTTCCTATCCTCGGATAGGTGGTCACGTGCGGTTCCGACTTTCTGAGCTGGAAGGTATCCATCCTCTCCTGTGTAATGCTAATAATGTCCCGAAACTGTCTCATCCGGACCGAGGAAGCTTGTTGAGGCAAGAAATCATGACAGGATTGGAAGGCTGGGTTAATTGGAGGGGACCTAAGCCTGTGATTAGAAGGTGTGACGTGGAAGCCTGTTTAACAGGCGTGCCCGACGCTACGACCAAGTTCCTCGATATGAGGGCGGTGCATCTTCTGAAGAAGAAGCTCGATGAGTTGGTAATGACACCTTTGGACAGAAATCCGGGCGATAGGCTGGTGCTCTGTCCAAAAGCTATTACGAAGCCATGTTGGAGCTTTTTGTAGCAAGCACAGGGTACGTTGTGTCAAGGGAGCGGGAGGAGAATGTGATCAAATTGATGAGACTGGAGGTGTTGGAAACAGGCCTGATGAAGTTGGCACAATGGGACAAAAAGGGTTAAATTGGGGAGGCTTATGCTATGCCAAAGCATAAGGACCTCGCCCGCTTTCGTCCCATCTGTCCAACGTACTCGGAGCCCACCATTAGAGGATGTCGGATTGTTGCCAAAGCACTTAATCATCTGCTGTATACAATGCCGCGTGGTTGGCATTTTAACCTTAGGTCTGTGTCTTTGTTGGTCCCGACGATCGAAGGGATTAACAAGAGGATTGATAGAAGGATGGGGATTAGCTCCGAAGTGTCTGCGATGTCATACGGCATCAAAGACATGTTCAGTAAGCTACCGCATGAGGAGATTGTGGAGGCTGTTGACTGGTTAGTCGACTACCACATTGCGAAGGGCCGTAGCCTGGTGCGAGTTAACTCACGGGGAAAAGGCAGTACTTTTGGGCGTACAGCAGGGGACAATCATTGGCGAACGATTAATCTGCAGCAGATTAAAAGTTTCGTGCGAATTGAACTGAGGCACACCTACACCCGTGCCACAGGGATGCTACTGAGGCAAATAGTGGGGATCCCAATGGGGAAGAGTACCAATCCCCTTTTGGCCTGCATCCTGTGTGCCTACGCGGAATTCAGATTTCTGCAGGGATTGGGGAGGGCAGCAAGCGACGTGTTCGGTATTCGTTTAATGGACGATGTGAGCCTGGTAGTGCTCGAACGAAGACACAGCCAGATGACAGCTGAGCAGATTCGAGTGCAGTTCGAAGACTGTTATCCAAAGAACCTTCAACTAAAAAGGACGGATGACGGGTTAGGTTCTTGGGATTTTCTGGGTACACAAACGAGTATCAGTCAGATTCAGCCGTTTGTTACATGTTTTCACGTGGCGAAGAACGAGAGGACTATATGGCACGAGGAAACTTTGGAGTTCAAAAACGGACAGTCCTTCAGATCCTGGAGAAGTAAGCAGCAAAAAAGTGTTGTTATTGCATGCCATCTTCACAGGATTGACCGTAACACCAACGTGCGAACACGTGTACCTGGTCAAGTTCTGAGCCTGGTACGCGAGCTGAGGATGAAGGGCTTCCCAGCTCGTTTTGTTGAATGCGTGGTGAAGCGCTTTGCGAAAGGACGGGAAAGGATCTGGAACTGGACTATGAATTGGCTTTACCCAAAATAGTGGAGTAATGGATTCGGAGTAACCGCACTAGCAGAGACTGTGGTTTCTGGATTCCGAAACAGGACTATTGTAACCAAGTTGTTCGAACTGTTTTTTTGTGCTGTCTGTTCTTTTCTCGTTATGGGTGGGGTGGCATGATCTGGAAGGTGAACCTTTTGTATAAGGATTTGTACCTTTTCGGTGTTGAAGTAGTCTTTTCTTAGTTGTAGCTTTCTTAGCTATTGGTAAGTTGACAGGGGTCCGGGAATCGAACTTCGTCTCCCGGCATATTCTCATGGCTGTTTTTTATATGGACAGGGATCCAGGAATCGAACCCGGTACCTCAACCTGTTTTTGGTCCTTTAGATGCAGAAGTTCTGTCGACAGGGGCGTCGTGTTCTTTGCTTTTGGTGTTTCTCTGGAGGACTGGGTTTCAGGAATCGAACCCCGTACCTCTACCTGTTTTTGAGCATGTTTTTGGGCCTTTTAGATGAAGCGATCCAGCCGATAGTGGCGTCGTTGTCTTCTGTTTTTGGTCTTCTCTGGAGGACAGGTTTTCAGGAATTGAACACTGTACCTCTACCCGTTTTTGGTTCTCTTAGACACAGGGTTCTGCCGCAAGCGGCGTTGCTGTTTTTGTTTTTTGTTTTTTGTTTTTGTTCTCTACTTGTTTGTTCGTAGTTGTAGGTACTGCCTGTGTCTGTTTCTGTAGTGATTTGTGGGACAAAACCACTTGTTAGACAGGTTACTGTAGCTCGTAAGTACAGTACAGCGGGATAGGCGGACTATAATATGCGAACTATAAAGGACTTGATTGCGTGACCTTTGGTCTTTTCCGGGTCCGACGCAAGCGACCGCCGACTGTTTCCGGAGACGGTCAGTTGGTCAAAGGCGGAGGTGGGTTAGTGGAAGGAGGAGTTTGAGAGAAGGGCGTTGTAGGTGGTAACCCCCTGAAGATGACCGCGTGGCTGCGGTCGAAAACCGGTCAGATGACCGCGTGGCTGCAGTCGAAACCGGTCGGGGAGCCATATCTCAACCGGCACGCGATCTGTTGTGCATGTGTGCTTATGTACTCATGTACGTGAATATACATGAGCCTTTTGAATACTGTGTCGTTTGATACTGTGTGATTGGCTTGTGCATACTTCTCTCTCTTGTCAGTAATCTACCTCATACCGCGCCTGCCAGGTAATGTTTTGCTTGCCTTTTTTAACTCAGAGGACATGAATTTCGCCATGCCTTGTTTTTCTTGCCTATCTCAACTAAGAAGGTGACCCAGGAGTTCCCCTTGGGCAAGGTCCCACTAGCAAAGAGCATTGGATTGAAAGCTAGAATTTGGCTGCGTTTGTGGACAAGTGCAAAAAATCGAGATTGAAATCCTTTTCTGCATCTCTGCCTAAAACACACCCAAATTCAGTGGAACCATGGTCCTTAACATTTGCGAGTTGCTAGGAGAAGGTGGACCTGGTTTCCAGTAATGGCCCCAGTATCTCGGGGTTGTTTGTTTGTGGAAGGCTCCCGGGGCTAGGTCCCACTTGCACGAATTAAGAGATACTGACCGTAGATAGCAAAGATCAACGGCCCAAATCTCCTAATTTGCACAAGTGGGACCTTGGCCCCGGCTTCCCCTTCTCCCTTTTCTCATTGATAATAGAACGTCTTGTTTGCTCCCACAAAAAAAAAAAGAAAAAAAAAAAGAAGGAATCATACCTAGACAGGGTCTCTACAGTCTTCCCCCGAATACAACGTACGGTATTTATAGCTGTATCCAGACTGAAAGATCCATCAAATACAGCTATAATGACCGTGCGTTGTATTCGGGGGAAGACTGTAGCACATTACTTAGGAAATTGATACAGCCTCCTTGGGAACATCAAGTTAAAATTGGAATGATACAGAGAAGGGTAAATTAGCAAATGGCCACTGCGCAAGGATGGCACGCATAAATAGAGAAATGGTCCAAATTCCCTTTAAAGAAACTGAGACATGGGGAAACGGCGCAAGAGTCACAAAAACGAGTTATAATTGCAGTATGGGCCAAGATACAGTTTGGCAAATGGAGTTCGGACAATGTATACAACCCAGGTTTCTGGCCGTGTGGGGTGGCGTAAAGTGCAATTGCAAACTGTATCTTGCCTAGGCTACCAGAGTGGCCCGGGGTCACTTGCCCGGCCGGGCCAGAAATAAAATAAAAAAATAAAAATAAAATAAATCTGGTGAAGAATTTCGATTTGGCCCTGAGGCAAAAGTTGTTCGATTTATTTTTCTGCATAACATAGTTTTGTTTTCGTGTTGTTGTTTTTTTTTTTTTTTTTTTTTTTTTTTTTGTGCTTGAACCTTCGCTGGTCCTTGCACGGGCTGGCCACCCGGGACCCGGGCGGCCCGGCTGGT